CGGGCCGGGGCCCTGGGACCCTCGCTGGCCGTGAGCTCCGACTTCCAGGCACAGTCAGAGGAAACAGAGAGCAGGCCCCTCCAGGCCTGTGGCAGACCGCACTCAGTGGGGGCGGGGGAGCCGCCCCAGCGGCCGAGGCCCAGGAGGGGGCTGTGGGGACCGGCATGCGCCTGGGGAGAGCGGTGGGGTGGCAGGGGAGGGGGGCCCTCTGCAGTCCTCACATTTGGTCACCAGGAGCTCCGCGAAGGTCTTGATGCCCTGGGCGGCCTTCTCCCTCGCGTCCTCGTTGGCAGGAGGCCCCTGTCAGAGGACGCGGGTCACCAGAGGGCCCAGCCTGCACTCGGGACCCTCCCCTCAGCCTCCTCGAAGGACACGCACCCACGTCCCGGGGCCCACCCGTGCAGTGGGAGTCCGCCGGCCCTGTTCCAGCGGGGGGGAGCTTAACTTCCACCGCGGGGCCCGGGAGAGCTCTGGGGAGTCGGAGCGTGTTACCCCGAAGACCGAGGGGGTCTGTGGCAGCAGGCTGTGGGGGCACGAGCCCTCCCCGAGCCCGCCCGCTGCAACTCACCACCCCGGTGACCCTGTCCTTGAAGTAGGGCTTCAGGAAGTGCCCGATGTACAGGTTCAGGGGCGGGCCCTTGCCGTCCTTCACCTTGGGGCCCTTGGCTCCCGCCAGGCCCCACATGGCTTCCTCCTGCGGACACAAGGGGGCCCGTGGGTCGGGCGGACTCTCCTCTCCTCGTGGAGAAGGGCCCCGGAGGCCTGGCCAAGGGGGTCCTCGGGGCAGGACCCAGCCCTACCTGCTGCTCCCGGTTCTGGGCCAGCAGCAGGCGGACCTCTGCCAGCTTCTCCCGGACGACCTCCTGGTAGACCATGTTCAGCTGCAGGCACGTCTCCGGGTCTTGGGGGAGCGTCTGCTCCTTGGGGTCGTCCTCGTCGTTGCTGGCTCCGCCCCACCTCTCTTCTTCCTGGTCACCAGCGGCAGGCCACGGGTGAGGAGACATGGTGCACGGACGCCCCCGTCCTCGGGGCCCCCGCAGCGCAGCCGGCCCCCCAGCCACGGTGCAGCCCCCAGACCGGCGGGGCTGCCCCGACGTGGACTCCATGGTGCCCCCTTTCCCTCGTCGGAAGCGGGGACACTCAACCTCTAGGAACTGGGGTGGGGGAGGCGTGAGGAAATGAGTAGTTTCACTTTCCACAACGGGCGTTTCTGTAAAACTCGGACTCTGTGGCGGGCCCGTGGGACCTCCGTCGCTGGCCGGTGACAGTCGGCTGCAGCGCACCCAGAACTAGCGAGTGGAGAGGACCCGGACTCATCGGAGGGCAGTGCGTCTGCGCAGCCACGGGCAGCCCGCAGTGGGCAGTGGTGGGGCGGGCGGCCCTGCAGGCGGGAGGCAGCACCGCTCCCTCTCACGGGCGGGGAGACGAGAAACCCGTGGAAACTCTCCCACGTCAAGGGAAACTCCAAAGCAGTCGGAGAACAGTTAACAGTCACGGGCCTGAGTGACTTCTGGCCGAGCGTCCCCCTAAGCACTACGTGCAGACTGGGCACCAGGCACCGCGGCGAGGGCAGCGCCCACCGCGCTCCGAGCGGGCCCTCACGTGGGGACGCGCGTGAGCTCGGGCAAGCGAGGCGGGGTGAGCCCCAGCCTAGCGACAGTGGTCACTCAGCCCTGACGTGTTGTCTCTGACAGCACACACGCGTGGCCTTCATGCCTTGGGAACACGGGACCAGCTCAACAGGCAGCCCCCCCCCCACCACCGCGGGCTGCATGGGCGGCGGGCCTGCCTCAGGGCGCAGCTGGCCCAGGCCAGTAGTTACCGAGATCAGGGGACCGGAGGCATCCGAGTCCTCGTCAGGCAGCGAATCTGTGGGAACGCAAGCAGACCACTGTGACCGCGACACAAACAGGTGGCTGGGGAGGGGGACACGCTGGCGCCGAGGAGCCAGCCAGCAGTGCGGCATGTGGCCCATCTGCTGGGCAGGCGCGGGTGAGCGCAGGCAGGGCCGAGAGACCTCCGGGCAAGACCCGCACGGCTGGGCCTCGCCTCCCCGGCAGCCCAGGGAGGCTGAGCGGCTCGCACTGACCAGGCCAGCTGGTGCGGGACCGGCGGCAGGGCCCGTGAGGAAGAGAGGACGGAGGCCTCCCAGGAAGCACCCCAGGAACTTGGGGAACAGAGACTGCGGGGACACGCCAGGGAGGAGACACGGAAGCCTGGGGGACCCCGCACAACAGGCGAGCCTCCAGTAGGAGTTGTGTGGGGGCGGGCGCTCAGGCCCCAGGGCGGCACAGAGGGCGTGGGGGCGGGCAGAAGGTGAACTCGAACAGCAGGGGACCCGAGGGATGAGCCCAGGGAAGGGAGCCGGGGGCGGGGGAGGCTCAGGCGTGGTGAGCGCCCAGGCACGGGGACACGCCGAGCTCGGAGGCCTGTCCCAGGACAGCAGGAGTGCAGAAGCCCCCGCCGTGGGGCGGGACCCTCTCGCGTCCAGCGGGGCCAGGGCCTGTGAAGGAGGGTGGGCAGGAAACCGGCCGAGGGGTGAGGACGGCCGGGTCCCAGGAGTGGCAGTGGCACGTGGCAGACAGGTGCCGAGAGCGGACCACACCCTGGAGGGGGCCGTGGCCTGGGAGCTCACCTGCATCGGAGTCCGAGTCGAGGCTTGATTCTGAGGCCCCCGCGTTGATACTTGAGGAGCTGGGATCCAAAATCCTCTCCAGCTCCTTTATCTCCTGTGTTATTTTCTCTCTTTCGGCGTCCACGTCCATGGCTTCCGCCTGCCCCCAAAACATGTCCCGAGAGGTTAGGAACCAGGGTGCGCCGGTGCCCCCCGCCCCCCAAGATGTGCTGGTTTGCAGGGGATGGCAGGAGCCTGGCCAATGCAGAGACTCGGCTCCCAGAGGCCTGTCCAGGGGCCTGGGGCTGGGCCGTACCACCCTCCACGCCCCACAGACTCTGCTGTCTGCCATCAGGTGCTGAAGCCACCTGCATGGGTCTGGTCTGCCAAAGGCTGTGGGAGAAATGGACGCCAATATGGCCCAACTGCCTGGTGTCTCCCCACAAGCATGCCCCCGGAGAGCTGGTCAGCCAGCGCAAAAAGGGCAGGGAGTGGTGGCAGTCGGGTGCACAAGGACAAGGCCACGGGCCACCGCTGCTTGGTGCACAGAGGGTAGGGCTGGCTGGGGGCCCTGCTGGTCCCCAGCAGCCAGAGCAGCGCCTGTCGCGGCCGACACTGAGCGGACGCCTGCCAAGGGGACTGCAGCCGGGGTCTGGGAGTCTGGGAGTGGGCGCAGGCTGCGCGGAGAAACGGGAGAATGAGACAGGGGCAGGGCGACAGCCAGAGGAGCCCAGCCCAGACCCCCGGGCCGAAAACCGGTGAGAGGAAGAGCGTCCCCGCCCTCGGCATGGCCTCTCCCGCCGGAGACCCGCGGGGACAGGGCGGCCAGGCTCCGCGCAGCCCCCGCCCCTGCACCCAGCGACGGTTACACTTGAAATGCTTACGGACGGAACTCAGCTGGGAGCCAGCCAGGGCCGCGGGCCGGCAGCACGCAAGCTCGCCACCCTCTCCGACCTCCCCGCCCCGGGCCCCGAGAAGCCAAGCCCTCACCACACCCTCCCCGCGGACTGCGCCGCCGCCACAGCCCCGCGCTTCCGGCAGCCGCGCGACTGGGGCCCCGCGGACCGGAAGTCCCGCCTCCGCGAGCGCGGGGCACGCCGGGGACAGGCCCTGAGCGGGCGGGCCGATACTGCCCCCGCGCGGCCGCCCCGGGCACTGCCCGCGTGCGCACGCCTCCTGGCCGGACAGACGGCTGGGTGGGACCACGCGCCGTGCGGCGGGAGACCCCCGGCAGGTGCCTCCTGCTCTTCGTTCTTCTCTGTGACTTGGATCCAGGGTTTCGGTGGAGCCACCAGTGAGGAAACCTGCTGAGCGCCCGCTGGGTCTCGGCCCGCGGGGTCGCCGCCCCAACTGTGTGTGCGGGGCGCCTTTTTTTCCCCCCTCTCTTTAAAACGGAACGCTTCCTGAATTTGCGTGCCGTGTTTGCATAGGGGCCGTGCTGATGATCAGTGTCGTTTCCATCTCAGTGTCTGTGCTGGTGAAGTGCGCATGGGGGCGGGGGGCTGGCAAGTCCTGGTGAGCACGACCACTGCCCCCAAGGCAGCGGGCCTCCCACTGAGCAGCCAAAAGCGAGAGCCAGAGGGCAGAGCCTTGAAGCGGCTGGTGCAGCTGCGGACCGGCTGCGGGGCAGCGATCCGGAGGCAGACATGGGAGACCAGCAGCTTGTTAGTGTGACTTATGTTCGGGGCTTTTATGGGGAACAGTCCAGACGACACAAAAAGGGAACCGTGTACTAAAGCCTGAGTCCATCCTGCCCTCTGCTGCAGGAAGCATTTCGAGGGCACGAAGGGCCGGCGTGTGCTGGGTGGCTGCCCGGTTCCGGCCCAGCCTGGTGACCAGCTGAGCATTCCCCAGCTCCGGACAGGGCTGTGTCCCACAGGTGGGCCCTGCCTGAGGCACCCACCCTGGGGCAGCCCTGCCCCGCCTCCCAGGCTCCTCAGAGCTGTCACGTGGTCACCCAGAGGGAACCTCATTCCAGCACTTTCTATGGTGCTGCTCTGTCCCAGGCCAGCAGAACCCACTTTTACCAGCAGGCCGGAGCATGAGGGGGGCCTGGGGCTCCAGGCTGATTTCTGGAAGGCTCTTCTCTGTGGTTAAGATCACAGGTCCAGCAGTTTAATCACCTTTTGAAAATTCGACCAACACAGCCTCCCAGAACGCCCTAATTCTGAAAACCTGTCTGTCTTGAGTCCACACGGGCAGCTGCTCTCAGCCCGGGCCAGCCGTGTTCCGCGCCACCCCGGACCCCACAGGCAGGGGCCTGGCGCTGATGTGCCGGCACAGATCACCTGTCCCAACAAGGACCAGGCGCGGGCCCTGGTGTCGGGGGCTGGCCGCCTGGCTCTCAGGCACGACAACTAAGTCAGAAAAAAAGGGACACAGAGTGTGAGTTTTAGAGTTTATTAAGAAAGCTGTCCATCTGAACAGAAGAGAAAGTTTGTTTCAAAAAATAACATCTACAGGAAGACAGCCAGGGAGGGTTGTGCCCCCGACGTCAGGAAGCAGCTGGAAAGGCCGCCCAGGAGCCCTGGTGCCGACTGGCCCAGCGAGGCTCTGCGTGGCCGCCGGACGCCTGGACTCTGAGCTTCCCTGTACCAAAGGCCACGTGGAATGTGTCCAAACTCTCCAGACAAAACCACTTTTTCAAACCCGAAGGCCCCGAAAAACGTGCATCTCGACGGCTTCACAGTTCGGAACCTGCACCGAGCGTGGTCCCTGAGGCAGAGCAGCGGCGTCCACCGCGTGGGGCGCCCCGCTCAGGCCGCCACCTGCAGGGCCCCTCCCCCGACCCCGCCAGGAAGGCCTCGGCAGGGGGCGGAGCCAGAGGGCGCTGCCTAGCGGCAAAAAGGCACGAGTCCCTGTCCGAGACAATCTTTGGAATTTTGGCTCGTTTATAGTGTTTTCTTCAGTCGTGGACTCGAGGAGGAGCGACAGGACTGACCTCACAATGAATGGGTGTTCTGGGGTAAGGATGAAAGACCCACACCGCACAGAACTGCTGTTCCCGTGCTTGGTGACTTCGAGAACCCAGCAGCGCTGACAGAAACGTCTCCCCGTGGGTTGCGGAGACCGCAGCCGGGGGCTCACCCAGAGAGCGCCGCACAGAGACCCTCAGCTCTGGCCGAGGAGCGCCCCCTGCAGCGGCTGGCGAATGACACTGTGTGGGGTCTCGGGGTCGTGAGGTCAATTATCTCGGGATGAGTGTTTTTACTGAGCAGAGTGCACATTTAAAGATACAACGGCATTTTAAAATCCAGTTAAGTAGTGATTTCAGAATGTAAACAGCACAAGTTTCTCAAGACTCCGCCTCCTCCTCGATTTCAGAAATTCTGTCTATAGACTTAAGGATTTCAGCAACAAGGTTCAGTGTTTCAGCTCCAGAAACCAGCTGCCTAAAACGAGAACGCCGAGGTCACGGACCACTCGCACATCCTCCACGGGAACGAGAGCTGCGAGAGCGGCGAGCAAGGGCGGCCCAGCCCCTGGAGGTCCCGGCTCCGCCCCGCAGCGGCCCCGGCCTCGCCCTCCGCAGGACGGGCGCCTCCCGCCCCCGAGAGCCTTCGCTGCAGCCGCCACTGCCCCGCAGCGCCAGCCGGGGGACACAGATGCGGGCCCTAGGACATCACTGCGGTCTCCCGGGGCCTCTCCCCGCAAGGGCACCACGTTGGGACCTCGGAAGAGCCAACTCAAGGTGGGGGAGCGGGGGAGCTGGTCGCGCCTCGCCGCCCACACCGCCCAGACAAGGGTCACTGTGTGGGAGGTTCGAGCCCGCCGGCCCAGTGCGCCCCGTGATGTCAGGGCTCTCGGCACCCTTGGCGCACCCCTCCCTGCCCTGAGCCCCGCACCAGGGTGAGCCCCGCCCCCAGGGGCGACGGCAGTGTGCTCGCGGCCTGAAACGCGGTGTGCAGGGGGCCCCGCCGGCGACCGACGCACTCACTTGATGGAGGCGTGTGCGCTGTTCATGACCACGCGCAGGTTCTGCAGGGCCACGTCCGTGTTCTGCTTCACCACCGCCAGGCTGGCGCCCTGGCCCGAGCGCAGGGCCTCGTTCTCGCGCTGGAAGGCGGAGACCTGCGCCTGGGGCGGGGCGCGCGGCCGGCCGGTCAGGGCGTCTGTGCGGACAGACGGGGAGCGCCCCCTAGGGCCGGCCCGGCGCCTCGCCTCGGAGGGAGGGGCCGGTCGACAGCAGGGCTGCTTCCCACAGGGGCTCCCCGGGGCTCCCCGGGCCTCCTGCCGGGCCTCCCCTGGGCCCCAAGCCCGGGAATGAGATGTGCGCACGCCACCCAGGGGGCTAGCAAGGCCACAACCCCGGGGACCTTCCTCTGAGCACGAGCCACCGGCGACCTCCTTACCTGGAGCAAGCTTATTTCCTGTTTCAGCTTCACGACGTGACCTTCCGCCTTCACTGCACGTTTCTGTCACCAAACGCAGCAGCACACGTCAGAGGGTCGCTGACACGGTCCCGAGAACCCGTGCCCTCGCCTGCCCCGCCAGCAGCCCCCCCCCAGTCTCACGGCCACGGGGAGGGCCCTGCTCACTGACGGCGTCTGGGACCCCCGGGTGCAGCACAGGTCCGGCGCAGTGACACACCCAACGCTTCACGACGACGCCACCCCCGCCCCCCCCAGCCGGCGGGGCGCCACCTGGTACGCACGGTCATCAGCTCCAGGTTCTGCTCCACCTGCTGAACCACGGACTCCAGGTCGTGGTAGTCGCTCTCCTCCTTCATCATTTTGGCTTCTAGTTTCCGCTCCAGCGTCCTCACCCTTGTTGGAAAGCATACCCGCGTCACTGACAGCTCACACGCCTCGTCCCGGGACCACTACTAACGGGCACTCCGGTCGGATCGATCCACGAAGACCCCGAGTGCCCGCCGTCCCGGGACGACCTGCATCAGCGAGGCGACCCCCCCCCACCCCGCAGGGCCCAGGCCAGCCCCACCACAGGCCCTCGGGGCGCCTGCAGCCCACCGCCCTGTCCTCAGCGCGGCGGACTCGGGGCGGCGTCTCAAACGCACTGGGCCCCGGCCGGGCCGCTCCGTCGGTCAGGGTGTCGCCCCCGGGCACCACGGCCGTGCGGCCTGTCCCTGGTCAGGGCGCGAGCAGGAGCCAACCGGGGAGCGCACCGAGCGGGAGAGCACGCCGGTGCTTCCCGCCCTCTGTCCCCCTCCACGAGCGACATGAGACGTGAAGAGGAGGACCGCTCTGACACGGGACATGGACCGGAGCACAGACCTGGGCCGAGGGGCACGTCCCCACCTGCGCGTGTGGCCGCCAGCGCCCGAGCCCCCTCCCCCGCCAGGTGTGACTGGAGGCTTACATCTCGGTCTGCGTCTCGGAGAAGCTCTGCACCTCGGTCAGCTTCCTCCGCAGCTTGGAGTTCTCGTCCTTCAGCTGCGGGGAGAGGGAGCCCTCATCGGAGACCCCGGAGTCTCCCCCGGAGGGGTCTGCTCTCTGCGGCCCGCCCCGGGGCCGCTTGGAGGACAGAGCGCTCCGGAGCCAGCCCCCGCCCCCCGCAAGGGCCAGGGCTCGAGACCTGCGGCCACAGACGCCGACTTCCCTCAGGCCATTGCAAATCGGGAAAGATTCACTCAACACACGTGGCCGGACGCCCAGGCTGGTGAACCGCGGGGGCGGCCCCATGGCTGCGGGGCGGCCCTCAGAGGGTCTTCCCCGCTTCGTCACCGTCCGGTCCTGCACGGGCCGCACCGCACCGTCCGTTTCACGGGGCTCTGTTCGCCGGACAGCCCGGGCGAGCACACCGCACGGTGACGCGGTGCCGGGCTGCCGCACCAGACACTGTCTTGTCCCGGAGCCAAAACCCGGCCCCGAGGACACCGGGAGGCCCGGGTGCTCTCTGCGGACGCCGCTCCGACCCGGGCCCCTCACTCACCGCCTCGTAGCTTATCTGCAGCGTCCGGAGGTGCCTGTCCCCCAGAGACTCGCCGTGGGCCGCGAAGTCTGCGCCGGGGCTCCCCGCGGGAGAGACGCGGCAGTCGGCGTCGCTCAGCGACCACGGGGGCAGGGACTCAGGCCCGGCCAGCTCCGAGGGGCCGGAGAAGAAGGAGATGTACGTGCTGCAGGGCGACGCACTGGCCGCGTCCCGTGAGGAGAGGGTCTGCTCCACAGTGGACGGCAGGTAGGCCCCCGTCCACCCGGCCTCGTCCTCGTCGTCGTCCAGGAGGTCGCCGGCCCCCGTCGGGTCTTCGAAAAACGGCTGCTGGTACTCCAGGCCGAAGCCCACGGGCTGGGAGGCCGGGGAGCTGCCATCGAGTCCCAGCGAGTGCCTCTTGGCTTCCTGAAGGACGCGGGGCGGGGGGCGGGGCGGGGGGCAAGGCTCAGACCCGGGCGCCGCTGCCGCCGGAGGCCTCCCTTCTGGACGGTCCACCCTGCAGCAGAGGCTCCATCCGTCTGCCAGGGAAGGGGCGAGCCAGGAGGGGCGCCCACAACTCCCCTCCAGCACCAGCAGCCGCCTCGCTCCCCCACACCCTCTGCCCGCCCCCCAGGAACACTGCGAGTGGAGAGAGTCGTGCTCTGCGCGTTTGTGCCGAGTCACCGCTAACGACTCCGCGGAGTTACCTTCGAGTAGAGCCTGCTGTTGGTGGTGTCCTCTTTCGACAGGCTGAGGTTCTTGGTTTTCAGAAACTCTTTGAAGGAGAATGGGTTTGCCTCTTCGAGATCTCCAAGTTTGTCATCTGAAACAACGACAACCGTCACACACGTCAAGTCTCCTTAAGGTCATCAGAGGGGGGCTCCCCTGTTCGTTTCTCCTTCCAGGACACGACCCTAGCTAAGTTGGGAATGCCGCCCTCAACATTGTACGAGAACACAGTGACACCGAGAAATGAGAAAGCCGACCCATACAACCATCCACGTCCTTACCCCCCCGGCCCCCGCTCTCTCCACCCCCACCCCTGCCCCCAGCGGCTCTCACGCTCCTGGCCTGGGCACAGAGGCCACCTGGGTGGGGGTGCTCCTGCACCCCCACCACTTGGTCCCAGCTCGAGGCCCCGCCTCTCTTCTCCCTCCCTTCCTTCCCTCCCGCTCTCCCGCTACCTAGTCAGCCTCGCTGCGGCCCTTTCAGCCCACCGACCGCCCTGAGCCCGGGGGCCAGCCTTGTGTGAAGTCGGCTCCCGGAATTCCAGCCCTTGCTGCCTCTCGGCCCCCCGGGGAGTGACTTCCCACCTTCCTGCCCTCCCTCCTGTCTCAGCTTGCACCCTCCTCCTTCCTGCCCCGGGGTCAAGGTTGAGAGGGTGAATTCCACCCCCACCTGCTCTGCCAGCTGCAGGTACCAAGACCTACATTGTCCGGGGCAGCCCCACCCCCAGGCGCCAGCCCGGCACTGCGAGGTGGACCGACGGAGAGAAGGTGTTAATTACTGAAGCACTCTACCTCCAAAAAGTGTCTCCTGGGCTCCCGATGGACCTTGCTTAGTGCCCTTCCCCTTCCCGTAGACAAAATCTGCAAAGAGAGAGCGTCACCTCCATGGGCCTGGGGACCCTTGGTGACCACAGCTTGCCCTGATGCGGAGTCTCCACTCCAGGGCTTCTCCCAGCCTGGGGGCCTTTCAAACATGACCCCCCACTTGTGCCCTGGAGACAGTCTGCCTTCCAGGGGCCCTGGCCCCTGGGATTCTGAAAAAGCTCCAGCAGGTTCTGATGCTCAGTGGGGCTATGAGTGTCCTCTGTCTGGGGCACACTTCCTGAATGCCCCCGTGGGCTCCCACCAGCTCCTGGCCCCGATGGGACCACCTGAACACGCCCTGCACAGCCGGGCTGGAGAGTGGGGCGGCCCCTTGGGGAGGAGGAGAATGAACTAGCCTGGCCGCGGCCCAGCTGCAGCCATTTCCAGGTGTGCCTGGGATGAAGGCTCCCCGGCCCTCCCTCCAGCACCCAGAAGTACACTTTTATTTGGGCACTGGCCACCCTACGAAGGAACTGTCTGTCTGGGAGGAAGGGTCTCCCCGAGACAAGACTGTGAGCTCCGAGCGGCAGGATGCTCGCCACCTCTGCGCTCCCAGCGCCGGGCACACAGAGGCGCTCAGCGGTCCCCGCTGGGTCGAGGGGTGAGTCAGTGCTCCGGCAGAGCTACCGAGAGGTAGCGCCGGGCCCCGGGGGGCCCTGAGGCTTGTCTCTCACCTGTGTCTCCCACGGAAGCTAGCACCGGACTGGGCACATAGCACATAAACGTCGGCCGAATGCCGAAGAAGTGGGAGTCCGGGTCCCTGCCATGGGGGCGCTCACAGTCTAGCTGGGGGAGACAAGACCGGCGCTCATAGAACGCTGCAGCTGGAATAACAATGAGAGCGACTTCACCGCGCGCCGCGCAGCGCTCTGCGGGGCGGCCTCACCTGCACGTCCGCGCGACCGGCGGGGCCCGCGCCCAGACCCCACCCGGGCGCGGGCCCGGAGCGCCTGCCTTGGGCCCCCTCCCCGCCCCCCCACCCCGACCCGCCCTCCCGGCCGCTCACCGTCCGGAATGACGAGGCTGCGGGCCCGGGACAGCGGGGTGACGCCCGGGCGGCGCGCGTAGCCCGCCATCGCCGCGGGGCCGGGGACGCGGGCCCTCCCTAGCCCGGCAGCGGCGGTTCCATGGCCCCGGCTCCGCCCTGGCCGCGGCCCGAGTCCCCCGCCCCGTCGCCCGCCGCTCGGCCGCCGCTCCGAGCCTCTCGCCGCGGCTTCAGGTCCGAGCACCGGAAACGAGCGCGCGAACGCCGAGGGCCGGCGCCGGCGGGGGCGGGGCGCAGAAGGCGGCACCGGAAGTGACGGCAGAAGCGGTGGGCGGAGACGCAATATGGCGGCGATGGTGCTGGCCGCGACGCGGCTGCTGCGAGGCTCCCGCGCCTGGGGCCGCCCGCGGCTGAGGTGAGCCGAGGGCCGGCTGCGGCAGCCGACGACTCTCGGGACGTTCGGCCTCTGGTTCCCCGACTCCCAGACGCGGCGCCGGGTGGGCGGGCTCGGACTCACCCTCGTCCCGGAGGCGCTTCCCTGCCCGGCGCCCCAGGCGTGGGCCCGGAGCCCCATGCGCCGCTCCGCTCCCCGGCTGTCGGGTCCGCTCCCGCCCTCCACTCCCGGGCCGACGGGACTGGACCCACGTCACGTGTCGCCCCCGCCCGGCCCCTTTCTGCGCGCGCTTGTCCCCTACGTGGCCGAACCGGCGGGGCCTTGGCTGCCCAGACCGCGCAGCCGGGGTTGGGTCCACGCCGCGGCCGTGCCCTGCCCCCCGCCTGTGGACAGCTGGCTTCTCCCGCCTCGCCGCCCGCCCGAGGGGCCAGGGCTGCCTTTTCCCACCCTGGCGCGTTCATTCGGGCAGCAGACCGGTGTCGCCTTGTCACTGTGTCTATGCGCTGCGACGCCTGAGCTAAACCTCGATCGTGTGAGCGCCGTAGGGCAGAGACCAGCTTCGGGAGGAGCGTTGGGCGGCAGCCACGTGCAAAGTGCAGGCGAGAGCTGGAGGCTGGGGACAGGGGCAGGGGGAGCTTTGGGGATGATTACCCCCGGACCAGCCTGCCAGCGTGTCGGAGACCTCGTGGGGAGGCGGAGAAGGGGCTCGGAGACAAGTTTGCAGGCGGAGTCGGGGGCCAGACCCTGCAGGTCCTTTAAGTAAGCCTACGCCGAGCCACCTGCTCTCTGCGTGCGGGACTGCAGCCACCTGCTGGCCCCCACGGAGGGAGCTGCTGTTCTCGCGGGCCTTCTCACAGAAGGGGCCGGGCAGACCCAAGGCGCCAAACCACCTGCCGAGGGTCCCTGGGCCACCCGGGTTGGCACGGTGCCCCCCTGCCCACTCCCCCGAGTCCCCAGGCTCGCAGAACAGGGGACCCTTTTGAGAGGCACGTGCCGACTTTGGGTGCAGACAAACACGTGACCAACCGCACCGGCGTGGTGCCCCCGGGTCCTGGTTTCCGGCCCTGGTGGTAACCGGGCTGACCTCGTTTCAGGTTTGGGGGCCCCGCGAGCAGACGGTTCAGCAGCGGCGGCGCCTACCCCGGCGTCCCCCTCTCCGCTCCCTTGCCCGGAGTGCCGCAGCCCGTTTTCGCCACGGTCGATGGGCAGGAGAAGTTCGAGACCAGAGTCACCACGCTGGACAACGGGCTCCGCGTGGCGTCCCAGAATAAGTTTGGCCAGTTCTGTACGGTGGGAAGTAAGTGCTGTTGGCCGGGGGCGGCGGCGGCGGCGTGGGCGCCTCGTTCACACCGTGTCCTGAGTGAGGAGGCGTGGTGCGGACTCGGCACACGGGGCAGCGGAGGGTGCCCGTGGCCCTGGCGGTTCTCCTTTTCCTGGCTTCACATCACGGAAAGTTTTCGGTCACACGTGTGCAGCACGCGCCTCTGTCCGTGTGGGCTGACGCGCACACCCGCAAACCTGCCGTCCCGGCCCAGGCGGCGAGCGCGCCTCTCGCCCTCGTGTGCCTGCGTTTCCCGGTCTGGTCCTGTGCGCAGCTGTAATCCAGAAGGCGTCTTTTGAGCGAACTGTTTCTTTTGAACGTTGACTTAACCTGTTAACTTTCTTTATTGTCAGTTCTTATTAATTCAGGATCCAGATATGAAGCAAAACACCTCAGTGGAATTGCTCACTTTTTGGAAAAGTTGGCATTTTCGGTCAGTGCTCAGCTTCTGGATGTTGAGAATATTGTTGGGGAGAATCTATATAGCTTTGGGTTTTTTTTTTATCTTTACTGAGGGGAAGGGAGGAGAAAGGGAGGGAGAGAAACATCAGTGTGTGGTTGCTTCTCACACGCTCCCCACTGGGGACCCAGGCTGCAACCCAGGCGTGTGCCCTGACCGGGAATCAAGCTGGCGACCCTTTGGTTTGCAGGCGGGCGCTCAATCCACTGAGCCACACGGAGCAGGACTATATAGCTTTGTTTTTTTAGAGTGGCTATTTTAATAAGTGAGTTGTCAAGTTAACGGTAATAAAAGGAAACTTGACTTCAAGCGTTCTGAGAGCTAAAGTAAGTTTTCCTCATAAAACTGTGTACTGGGGTGGTTCCGGATGCCGAGCCTGAGCGGGTTTTCTGACTCCTTTTCGCCAGTCCACCGCCCGTTTCGACAGCAGAGACAGCATCCTGCTCACCTTGGAAAAGCACGGGGGCATCTGCGACTGTCAGACGTCCAGGTATACCGGCTTTCCCACGCGGGACTGTTCTCCGTCTCAGGCGGAGTTGGGTGGGCGAGACACGCACAGTGGAACACTTCGAGGGCCACGCGGTCCCCACAGGGACGTGGGCTCGGTGACTGAGCCGGGCAGTGGCAGCACGGGGGACAGGCAGCGGACTCGGTGTGGACTCAGGCCAGGGGTGACAGGGGACTCGGCTTCGGGGTGGTTCTCAAAGGGCCCTGCTGAACGGAATGAAGGGAGGCAGCTCAGACCCCGGAACAGCGGGCGCAAAGGCCCCGCAGAACGTTCTCAGTGGTTAGTGGCGTCATAAACCTGGACGGTAGAGGCCACGTACGTAGGCTGGGTCAGAGACCGGGAGTCGGCGAGCGTGGGGGCAGCACATCCCACGTCCAGAAAAGGTCCCCTCCGGCCTGCAGCCGCCCGTCGGTGAAGTTCAGACTCGCCGCTCCCGGCGTCCTGGGTCCAGCAGGCCAGTGTCCTGGCTCCGACAGCCCACGCCCCCTCGGCCCGGGCCTCCTCTCCTGCCGCTCCCCCACGTGGGCCTGCAGCCCCGCCGAGGGTGGCCCTCCCCTGCACAGGCACTGGCGGCCATGTCTGGCCTCGCAGGCGCACTCGTCCACGCAGCTGCGCCTTCCCGGCCGATGCAGCCCGCCCACTGACCGCGGTGCCCCCTCACACAGTGAGCTGCTGCCGCCGCCGGTCTCTGTCCCCCCCTCCCCCGCTGTCTGGGCCAGGCCCGTTCCCACAGCCACCAGTCGTCCGTGCAGGACACACACACACCACCCCCCCCCCCCCGGGGTGCAGTGGTTCACTGTGGCGGAGCCCGTGCCCGACAGAGCCCCTGTGCTGCCTCTCTGCCTCTCGTCCGCTCTGTCCAGATGGGCTCTCGCTCGGCACCAGCCTGGGTGCCGCTGGGGCCCCGCCTGCTAGGAGCGGACCCCAGGAGACGGGGACAGGGAAGAGCCCCGGACACGTGCTCACGGGCGACGCCGAGGGAGGGAAAGGGCTCCGTGGCGCGTCCCTGTCGTGACCTCGGTGCCGGCGGTGTTGGTTTCCCCAGAGACACCACCATGTACGCTGTGTCTGCCGATTCCAGAGGCCTGGACACGGTGGTCGGCTTGCTGGCTGACGTGGTCCTGCACCCCCGGCTCACAGGTGTGTGTGCGGGCCGCCTGAGGGGCGGTGGGGTGGACACTGGGCTGTTGGGGGCCCGGGCCGAGTGGCCCGTGGGGTGGCGCAGCTTCACGGGGAATGAGGATGGGTGGCGACGCCCTGGTGCCCGGCGCTCTGACCCCGCCCTGCACCCTCGGACAGGCCAGCGGGTTTGGTCCTTTCCCTTCAGAAGGAAGCGACTCGGCTGTCTTTAAACACCCACCTCACCGGCCCTTGTCCAGTCCCGTCCTTGCCTCACAGGTGGCTGGACTCCGAGCCCCTGGTCGGGAGGAACGGGGCAGGTCACGCAGCTGCTGTGGCCGGTCTGCGCAGCCGTGCACGCAGCCTGGCCCGCCGGGCTGCCATCCTGCGTCCAGGGCTCTCTGGCACTTGTCGCAGCGAGCTGACGCTGGTCTGCGACTGTCCTCTGAGCATGTCACAGCCCTTGTCATCGTCACACAGCACGCCGGGAGACGGTCCAGGGCCCGTGCCTCGGGGCGGGGGGGAGTCCCAACTCGGAGCAGGGCCAGGCGACTGCCCATGGGGCCCTCTCCCCCGACACGTGCGCCCCGGCCGGCCCCAGACGGAGGCGCAGGAGACCGCTGGCACCCCCCAGCGAGGACGCGCAGGCCCGGCGGGTGAGCCTGGTCTCCGTGCTTTGCAGAGGAGGAGATCGAGATGGCCCGGATGGCCATCCAGTTTGAGCTGGAGGACCTCAACATGCGGCCCGACCCGGAGCCCCTTCTCACCGAGATGGTTCACGAGGTGAGGGACGGTCCCGGGCTGCCGCCACCCACACTCGTGGCCCTGGGGCCGGGCGCGTGGGAGGGTCGTTGGCCTGCCTGGTGCCCTTGCGGGGGGACACGCTCCGTCTCCGAGCCTGCTGCTGGGGAGGCATCAGACGTCCCGGCTCTTCAGCGGCGCCTCTCCCGCGCCCTGCCCTCTCCGAGTGAGCCCTGTGCTCCACAGCTGGGCCCACTCCGCTCGGGAGGGGCGGGCTGCCCTCTGGGCCAGCACGCCCGGCGTCACTGCCCGGCCGCAGGGCCGCTGGCGGGCGTGTTCTCTGTCGCCTGAGCCCCTCGCTGTCGCCGCCAGGCTGCATACAGGTGGAACACGGTGGGCCTGCACCGCTTCTGCCCCGCGGAGAACATAGCCAAGGTGGATCGGGCGGCGCTGCACTCCTACCTGCGGACCTACTACACCCCCGAGCGCATGGTGCTGGCGGGCGTGGGCGTGGAGCACGAGCACCTGGTGGAGTGCGCCCGGAAGCACCTCCTGGGCGCCCAGCCGGCCTGGGGCGGCGAGGCGGCTGGGGACGTGGACCGGTCTGTGGCCCAGTACACCGGGGGGCTCGTCAAGGTAGGGCGGGCGGGAGGCCCGAGGCCTCGGATCCCGGACACACCGTCCGGGGGCGTCGGCCGCGTGCTCATGCTCGTGCCGGAGGGCTGGGGCGGGCTGGGCGTTCACGGCTGCGCCTCGAACACGCCCTGGTCTTGGCCGGGCCACGTCCTCCCTGAGGCTGGGGCAGCGTTGGGGCTCAGGGGTGGGGAGCCGACGGGGGGCCGGGGGGCAGCGGCTCGGTCTTGTTCAGGCTCGGTCTTGTTCACGGCACACACCCACCCCTCCGTCCCGCCCGCAGCTGGAAAGGGACATGTCGAACGTCAGCCTGGGTCCGACCCCGTTCCCCGAGCTCACGCACGTCATGATAGGGCTGGAGAGCTGCTCCTTCCTGGTGAGTCCCCGTGGGGGTTCCCACGCCCCCCCAGGCCGGGCCCGTCCCCCGGCTGAGCTCCGTCCCCCGCCTGCAGGAGGCAGACTTCATCCCCTTTGCCGTGCTGAACATGATGATGGGCGGCGGCGGCTCATTCTCGGCCGGCGGGCCCGGCAAGGGCATGTTCACCAGGCTCTACCTCAATGTGCTCAACAGGTGCGTGCCTCGCTGTCCCCAGGGCCGGGGCCCCGCCGAGGGGGCGTTGGACCCTGACGCCGCCTCCTGGCCCCCCCTTGTGTCCTCACAGGCACCACTGGATGTACAATGCAACCTCCTACCACCACAGCTACGAGGACACGGGCCTGCTGTGCATCCACGCCAGCGCTGACCCCCGGCAGGTGAGGCCGGCCCGCCCGCGCCCCTCGGGGATGGAGCTGTTCCTGGGGGGCGGGGCGTCTCCTCCGAGAGGCTCAGGCTCCCCTCCTGCCACCTCTGCAGGTGCGAGAGATGGTGGAGATCATCACGAAGGAGTTCATCCTGATGGGGGGCGCCGTGGACACGGTGAGTGTGGCCCCTGGCACCGGTGTCCCAGCCAGCGCGGTGCAGCCCCCGTGGGGAGCCCCCCTCGGCCCTCATGCAGCACCTGGCCTGTTCGCCCTGGCTGACCCCACGTGCTCCGCGGCTGCCTCGTGACCTCTCCAGCCTCACGGGCCAGTCTGCGTCCTTCTCGCCGCCCCGAGGAGCCGTGGTGGTGAGGTCGGTGTCGGGAGGGCGGGCAGCCCTGGGTGGTCCGACTTCTTGTGTCCTCGGGTTTAGCTCCGTGTCTGAGACCTGACCGTCCAGAGGCCTCGTTACTCTGTGGGCCGGAGCTGGTGCGAGCTGCAGGTTTTACGCACGTGCCCGCGCACAGACTTTTCCAGCCGTGAACTAGAGCTCAGAGGAAGCGTGTTTCCTCCTCGTTTCGAATCTGGCCCGGGCCCTAGAGAGCGGGGTGATTCCAGCCTTAACCCAGAAACGCGAGGCTGGGAAGCACGGTGGGCTGCGCTCAGGACTGGGGCCCGCAGCCCCTGGGGAGCCCGCCCGCCCGCTGCGCGGCCCGGGGCTAGTGCGGGCCTGGGCCGGGGCCCGTTTCCGCGAGCCGCCCCGCTGGCTCAGAGCGCCCAGCAGGCAGCGGTGGCAGCGGTGGGACCGTGGACGGCTCTGGCCCTCAGGTGGAGCTGGAGCGGGCCAAGACGCAGCTGATGTCCATGCTCATGATGAACCTGGAGTCCCGGCCTGTGATCTTCGAGGACGTGGGGAGGCAGGTGCTGGCCACCGGGTCCCGGAAGCTGCCGCACGAGCTGTGTGCGCTCATCCGTGAGTACCGTGCCCGCCGCCCCACGGCACTGACGGAGGCGGCGGCCCCAGGGGGACGGGCCCTGGCCTCTGGGGCAGCTGTCTGGGCCCTGGCCCCTGCGGCGTCCCGTGAAAGGCTTTCCGGTGGGCTGCGGACTCCCTCCGGTCGTGTGCCGGGCTGGGCTGCTCGTGAGTTTTTGGGCGACAGATTTGTCTTGGTTTCCTCAGGCTTCAGAGGGTGGGCACCGTGTCTGTCGTGACGCGAGTCACCCAGTGTGAGACTGGCATAGCTTCGTAGTGTTCCCCCCTAGGGGACCCCCTCAGACCTCCCAGCACAACAGGACCCCATCTTGTGGCCTCCACTTCCACAGTAAAACCAGTTGTCACGGGTGCGTTGCCCGGGGGTGGCTTCCGGGCTTCCCGGCCAGCGGCGGGCGAGGCCCGCAGCTCTGGTTCCTGCGCCCTGGGTGTCAGCCTCTGCTCACCCACTGTGTGCGGCTCCTCCACGCAGCTCCTGTTAGTGGGCACGTCCTCGGCGTCTGACAGTCATTTCAGACGGTGGCCAGGTCCCCACTCCCTAAGCCAGACTCACCGCCGTCCTTCCGCCTGACCCACCGTGCGGACGCCCGCGGCTGCACCTGGACCCTCCTCCCCGAGGCGGTGGGTGGCTGGGCCCTCGGGGTCCCCTCCGTCCACCCAGCGCCCCAGAGAAGGGGCGTGGGCGCGGCCTCAGGCCTTCCCTGTGCTCTCTCCCCGCACCAGGCGACGTGAAGCCGGAGGACATCAAGCGAGTGGCTGCCAAGATGCTGCGCGGGAAGCCGGCCGTGGCCGCGCTGGGCGACCTGGGCGACCTGCCGGCCTACGAGCACATCCAGGCGGCGCTGTGCAGCAGGGACGGGCGCCTGCCCCGGGCCTTCCGGCTCTTCCGCTAGCCAGCGAGGGCTGCGCGCCTCTCCGGGGGGGACCGGGCGCCGCCAAGCTCACGGACGGTACGAACCAGGACGCTCTTCCTCCACGAGAACGCGCACACGTCTGGTGTTGACGAGCGCACGCCCCCCCGCCCCCCGAGTGGGCCGTGCCGGCCGTGGTGTGTGCGCAGGCCTCCGGCCCCGCGGCTCGGACCAGGGCCGGTGCGGACAGAACCCAAGCAGCTGCTGCAGGGGGCCAGGTCCGTGCACACGCCCTCCCGAGTCTCAGCGGGTGGGGCGGGCGCCCGGCCGACTCGTGCGCCGAGGCCAGCGAGCCCACCGAGCGCCTGGCCCCTGGGGGCCAGAGCAGGGCTGGGTGCTCCTGGGCCGTCCGCTGACACCACTCTGGCGCTGGGCACCGGCTGGCGTCCCCCACCCTCCACTCCGGACGGGGCTGCTGAAGGCCCGTGCTAACCGGCGGCTTTCCCAAAACAAGGCGTGGACCTGGCCGGTCCCCTTTCCGCCTGAGGACCCTTCAGTTTGGCCCTTGTCGCAAAGCCTCTTGCCCCTGCTCTGAAGGCGGGTTCTGGGTTCACGGGGGTCAGGACACACGGATGGAAGGCGGCTTCTAAGATCGTAGCATAGGGTGGTCGGTGGTTACGTTTTAAGAGGTGGGAAGATTCGGGAGAAGTGGCAGGTCACGTGACCTCGGTGACAGGAGAGGTTTGTGGTTCCCGAACTCACGTGGAACACCCGTGGAGGCCCCAGGGTCCACGCTGGGGGTCCTGGGGACCACCGCCACCCCGGGGGCAGCGCCACGCCACCGAAGCTCGGGGCAGCCCTCCACACGCGGTGTCGGTGCGGGCGGTCATGGGCTGGGGGGCGTCTGCACCACCGTCCCTGGGGCCCCGGGAGCCGCCTCTGCGGGAGGGAGGGGGGAGGCTGGGGAGGCGAATAAAGTATGTGTGTCCCTTCGTCCCGTTGCCTGAGCTCCCTGCAGTCGCCCCACCGCGCAGGGTGCCTGGCGGCGGGCACACGTGTGTGTCCGAGGTCTAGCTGCTGCTGGGCACGCTGGGACGGGGTGGGCACTGGGCACGTCAGGTGGGGTCGGGTGGGCCGCGTGTCGCCGTGTGTTGAAGCTCCTACAGAGCTGAAGCTGGGCTTATATGAGGGTCCGCAGCTTTCCGAACATTCTAGAAACTGCCCATCACAAGCACAGCCGTCTGTTTCAGAAGCAGCCCACAGTCTTTTCCATGCTGGCCTGCCTGGCCTGGACGTCGCCACGCCGCTCCCTCCCCCCTCCCCGCCCCCTCGTGGCCCCCAGCCCCGCCGCAGCCGCGGGCTCACACTCACCTCTCTGCAGACTCCCTGTCCGCTCCCCGCCAGCCAGCGCTGTGCCTCTTGGGAGCGGGCTGTCCCCCCGCTGAGGGGCCCGCACCACCTCTCCGAGGCTGAGAGCTGGGCTTCCGCGCACACCCTCAGACCGCCATGCCTGCGGTTCCCGGTGAGGCCGTTCTCGCGGGCTGGCTGCGCGGTGTGGGTGGGTTGACTGGGAACCTGCCTTCCCAGGGACGACTGGGGGTCGGCCTGAAGCCGGTCGCAGACGCCCGGCCCTCGTCTCAGGGTCTCCGGGGCGAGTGTGGCAGTCGCCCCAGAGCTGCAGCCCGGTTTCGGGCCAGACCCCCCCAGAGTTGCGTAGAGACTGCCCTTCGCAGTTTGGGTCACAGGTTCCGGAAAGGACCGTAGAGTGGCTGTGACTTCAGGCCCCGTTGGCACAGAAGTGTGGTCTTCACAAGAGGCTCTCAGAGTTTTGTGCCCACGGAGACCCGGGGTGATTTCTGGAAGCCAGGCGGGGGGCCTGCACCTTCTCGGGGTCCCTCCCACCCGAAGTGAAGAGTCGCACGTGCACTGCTTCCAGACTCACTCGGGCTGACGCCCACAGACACTGGGCGTGCTAGGGTTAGAACTGGCTTCACAACTGGCTCCCACCCGAAGTGCTTCCCAGCTCACACCTCGGGGCAGTGGGCGGGATGGGGCCCAGACCAGCAGGGGGGAGTGTGGGCGGCACCCCGGGCTGACAGTGGGGAGCAGACCCCCTTCCTCTCGAGGACACGGTGAAGGCAGGGCCTGCACTTTGGCCAGAGAGTGTCAAACATTCAGTGTATGCATTTATTTAAAAATATAAATATGGAAAAATAAATAATCGAGTAGACTAGATCAAATGCCCCTGGGTTTCCAAACACTCAGAGCCTATGCCTTTCCCAAGAGACGGGGTCGGGTGAAGGGGTGATGGGCTCTGAACACTGAGGAGAAGCAGCCCAGACGTGGAGGGGTGCCGCCCTGGTGGCAGCTGTCCCGCCCAGCCCGTGTGCCGCCACGGGAGGGGGTGGTCTGGAGCCAGCGGGACCAGGAGGGTGGGAGGCGGTGTCCTGGCTGGGGGCTCCTCGGGCCTGGAATGTTGGCCACGCCCCCCTCCAGCCTGCAGTGGGGCTTTGGTGGCTCCCTGGACACTATGTGGCTTCAGCCTGGTGACCCACTGGGCCTCAGCTTGGTCCTAGCATGGGCCCCATGGTCACCCCACCGGCGTCACCTGGCAGCCTCCCTGGGGCCAGGCCAGCCCGCTCAGATGAGGAGGGGTTAGAGGATAGAGACCAGGACCCTGGACGCAGGTGCAGCTGCATGAGTGAGCACGGGGGGACGGGAGTGGTTGCAGGCAGGCCGGGGCCTGGGCCCGCTGCCGGCTTGAGCCTGCCCCAGGAGGGAAGCCGTGCAAGTCAGCAGCTGGCTCTGGCCCAGGGGTGAGGGCCTGCCCGTGCTGCGGTGCACGGCCGGGTCGGGGTCTTGCTGAGGAGGTAGGACAGCCTCTGGTGGTGGGTCATCAGCGTCCCTACAGGCAGAGCAGTCCCAGGGGACAGCCTCCCCGTCCTTTCTGGGGACACAGGCGGCAGCGGGGGACAGACGACCTCTGGGCAGACCCCTCAGGAGACGGTGCAGACAGCGCTGGAGTGCTGTGTCTTCAGGGCCTGCTGCCTCTGGATCTCTTTGGAGATCCGCCTTTTAATCCCGATCAAGTACAGTTCGCGGTCAAACTTGCCGGCAGCCAGCGGGATGCTGTGCAGGACGGAGCCGTCAGGGGGAGGGGCGCTAAGACCCTCGTCCCACAGGCTGCCCGGCCCACGCAGCCCCAAGCGGACGCTGTGAGCCAGGGGTCCAGCCAGCCCTGGTCCCGACCCTGTGGCCTGTCACTCCAGCGGCAGCCACCTCCGCCCAGGGCTGCGGGGACCCTGCTCCCTCCCATCCGGGCGTGTCTGGACCCGGGCAGTGTGGCCTGCACCACCGTCGAGGTGGCACCCCGCAGGAGGGGGCCTGACCCTGTCCTGGACCCCCGCCGCCGCCCGGCCCCGCGCCCCGGGAGTGGAGAGGCCAGGGTACTGACTTGTCTCTGCCCGGCCTCACTTTGACGCGGAACAGGCCGTACACGGGGCGGTGGTCGGAGGTCCTGACGCCGGGGCAGGAGGAGTACCGCAGCGGGCAGATGTCGTCCTTGTGGCGGCTGCGGTACACAACCCGGTCCTGCAGGGGACGCCCGGAGGCAGGGGCCCCGTGACGTCCAGGCTGCCTCGGGGTCTGACCTGCCCGCCCCTCGCCCCTCCCGCCAGCTGCACGAGCCCGCCCCCACCCCCCCCCACGCCCACTGCTGCGTGCAGGCGCTGGGAGGGGCGGGTCTTGTGGGGCCTTTCCCTGGGGGCCCTGAGGCCTCCTCCACCCCTGTGGGAGCCGCAGACTCAGCTGGGGTCAAACCTGCCCCCCGGCTCCCCACTGCCCCGTTCTTGTCCAGAGCCAGCACGGGCCTCCTGCAGCCTGGCTCGGGCCGCTGCCCTCGGCACAATGCCCGGAGGAGCGCATGCCTGCGGGACTGGCAGAGCAGCGTGCACGGTGAGCCGGGCCTCAGAGAGCAGGGGCCTGGGCACCCGGACTGCAGGACGGCCCTCAGGGGTGGGGGGTACTCAGGCAGCCGCAGGCTTGGCCCCGGGCGCCCCCCAGCCACTCCCGCCCGCCCGGCCGGGGGGCCGCGCTCACCGTGTAGGATGGGGTCCTCTGCTTGGACGAGGTGTCGTAGGAGTCCCTCCCCACGTCGAACTTGTACGAAGGCAGGAAGTGGATGTCTGGCTCCCGGAAGCCCTTGAAGATGGTCCCTGGGGCGGGCGCACGTCTGGGACCGCTGGCCGGCGTGGAGCTCCCGCCCCACCCTCCCCGGGGCCTCAGCCCCCATCACTGCCCCCACCCCCTCCCCGACCTCACCCTTCTTCATCTCCCGGGTGAGCTGGTCCAGCTGCAGCAGGGCGGGCACGCTGGCCCCCGGGTCCTGCTTCAGGAGGGCCTCCACCGCCGGGCGCCCGCCGCTCAGACGGAAGTTGAAGTCTCCGAACCAGAACACCCCGTCGAAGCGCGTGGTGACGTCGGCTGGGGCACGGCCAGGACGCACGTGAGCCCAGCCTCCCTGCGTGCCGCCCCTCAGCCACGGTCCCGCCACCCGGAGAGCCAGAGAGCGAGGCAGAGGCCGCACCCCCCCCCCTGCCCCAGGGGAAGCACGTGAGCACACCGACCCCCGGCCACCCCGCTCACCCACCGGAGTCGGAGCGGTAGGGGCAGGTGTCCGGCACGTTCTTGGGCAGGGCCAGGCCCTGGACGGTCCTGCTGTAGTCCAGCAGCCGCTCGCTGACCTTCCCCTCCCCGGCTGCCAGGACAGAGGGGTGGGGACCGCTCGAGGGGCAGCTCTCTCTCCGACCGAGGGCCAGAGACACCGGGGCGGTCGGTCCCGGTGGAGACCCCTCTCGCTGCAGCCGCCGGCTCTCACCGTGCGGGGCCTGCGGCGACCCGCCCACCGCGCCTCTCTCCAGAGCGGAGGGACTCCGCCCACCCTCGCCCCCGGGGTCTGGGCGCAGGCGACTCACAGGTGAAGTGGGACGTGATGAAGAGGAAGGAGGTGCCGAAGAAGGTGAAGCCCACGCCCAGGGCGCCCTTGGTCTTGATCTGGGACACGATGCGCGTGGTCACCGTGCAGCTCTCCACCTCTGCGCAGGGGAAGCACAGCTGAGGGCCCCGCCCCGCGGCCCGGGGGCGGGGTGGTGGGGGCCGGCGGGGAGAGGACAGGCGCGGGCGGCCGCCTACCCGAGCAGAACCAGACGAGGTCCCGGCGGAGGAGCACCGAGAGGTGCAGCGCCCCGTGGGCCGCCGAGTGCAGCATGACGTAGTGCGGGCCCAGCGTCTCCTGCAGGCGCGCCTCCCACTCCCGCCTGCGGAGAGTTCAGGGCCACCCTGGGGACGGGAGCCGGGCCTGCCGGCTCCTCGCCCCGGCACCCTGGGGGAGTTGCCAGGAGGGGCCTCCGTGGTCCAGCCTGGCACCCGAGTCTTGCAAGGAGAGGGGCAGACAGGAGCCACACGGGGGCCGCCGGGGCTGCTGGGCCGGAGACTCAGGGCCTCCCCGAGACACTGGCTCCCTGGGCCGGGACACCTGCAGGGACGCCACGGGCCCCAAAAGGCCGCAGTGGTGGGAGCCGGGTCCCGACCCCTGCTCAGCCTCTTGGGCGAGAGCTCCTGGCCCACCTGGCAGAGGCCCGGGAGGGGCCCTGGGCCAGCGCAGCTTCGGCTGCGTGAGGAGCGGCACCCCTCGCCAGGTGGCCCTGGACAAGGCCACAGGTGTGCGGCCAGAGGACAGGGAGCGGCAGCCCCGGTGATCTCTCAGACCAGCTGTCGCGCCCCAGAAGGAAAACCTCACTCACTTGGGGTTCCCCAAGTCACTGTTGTAGAAGGTGGTCTGTGTGAGCGGCCCAGGCCTGGCTGCAGGGCGTCTCGGCTCACGGCAGCGTCAGCCCCAAAGGCCCCCCGCCTCAGCAGCCCTGCTCACAGGGGCCAGGAGGGACCGACGGACTTGGGGGGCCGTGGGGTGAGGCGGGGGGAGGCCTACCTGTCGGAGCAGCCCTCCTGGACCCCGACGACGTACAGGTCCTGGGCGTAGTCGGCCTCCGGGGGCAGCAGGAGCTCGTCCAGGTTGGGAGGCAGCTCCTGCGGGGGGAAGCAGTGCCTGGCGAGGGGCCGGAGGGGCCCAGCACGGGGGGCTCCTGCTCCCCCAGGGACCCCGCAGCCCTCCCCCTCCCAACCTGGCATCACCAAGGCCGTGTCTGCGCCCCCACCCTCACCCGGCCCCAGCCTGGCCCCCGAGCCCGACCCGAAGTGTCCACCACCCCGGTCCCCGGGCCAGTGCGCAGCTGGGGCGCAGCGGGTCCCCCGGGGCCCGGGCCGCTGCGCCCCCTCCGGCACAACAGACATCACTTCCGTCTCCCTCAGGCGGCTGCTTCCTCAGGGCCTCCTGCCCCATCAGCCCGACCTCGCCCGAATGCCCCCCGAATGTCAGCCGGACACGGCCACAGGAAGGGGAGGTCCTCCCGTCCTCTCCTTGTCAAACACTCCAACCGTCTGACACGTGCAATGGCCTCGTGACCACACGGGTGGCCACAATCAGTCCCTCGCCCCGCAGGCACAGGACGAGGCCCTGGCAGGGGGCAGGAGGGCGGAGGCCAACCCCCAGGCTGAGGACAGACCTCGCCGAGGGAAAGGGGCCCCGGGGGGAGGCACGGGCTAACCGCACAGCGAGCCGGCGGGCTTCCCTGGAAACGGGCGTGCGGGCCGGCCCTCGGCTCTGGGTGGGCCGCCGCGGCGGTCAGGATGTGGAGCACCCCTCGCGCCCACCCGACCAGCAGAGACGTCCTGGGCGCCCCTAGCTCAGGCCGACCCCAGGCAGGTGCGGGGACGAGCGTGTGGGGCCCCCGCAGGCGGGAGGCGCACCTGGGATGCCCATGGGCTCGTCAGGAGGGGCCCCGAGTGACGATGAGTCAGTGCAGGGCCGTGTGTGTCTGTGTGTGTGTAGGGGGTGGGGGGGCCGGGGCAGCGTGGGGGCCCTGGAAACAACGGGCAGGAACCAAGGCCTCATCCCAGGAGCGGCAGGTGGCCCGCTCACCTTCTGGCCCTGCATGTTCCACGTCGCCACGAACAGGGCCACGCTCCGGTCCGGGAAGTACCGGGCCAGCTCCTCCGCCCCCATCAGGGCCCCGCTGGCCAGGAGACTCCCCTGCAGGTAGCTCCTGTGGAGAGGGGGGCACAGCCTGAACTCGGGGCCCAAGCAGATGGACTCAGGGAGGGCCCAGCTGCTGGACGGGCTCCTCGGGCCCCCGAAGGCAGGGCTGTGGCCCGAGGGGCTTCCAACAACCTGCCCGGCCCGGGTCGGGAGTGCAGGCCTGGTCACCGCGGCAGGAGCCAGGGCGGGGAGACGCAGGAGAGGGGAGGGCGGCACTGCAGCTGGGCGCCCAGGACAGTTGGCCCCGACCCCGAGTGCCCAGAAGAAGCCCCATTTCGGGAGGAAGTCGTTGGGCGGGGCGGGGGGAATGCAGTGGACTCAGAAGTCTCTGCACCCCCGGCCCCGTGGATTCGTGGCTCTGAGCCGGAAGCACGTGAGTCTGGGAGATGGGAGCAGCAGCAGCAGGGAAGACACGGGGCCGGCACCCAAGTTCTTTCCAAGCCACGAAAACGTCGCTGTGCTGAAGTGTCAAAGCCCCGTGAAGCCCGGGAACCACGCGTCTTTGGAGCTGCGAACCCCTCCCACCGTGAGCTTTGCCGGGCGCCCAGTGGGCACACCGGGTCCCAGGACCCCAGAGATGACGCCACGGGAGCCTGTGGGACGCAGAGCGTGGACCCTGGGGACCTCTCTCCGTGCGGCCGGGCCCTCGGTCCAGCAGCCTGCAGTCCGGCTGTCCTGGCCAAGCAGTGCAAGTGCCCGTGTCCGCGCGGCGCCATTCTGGCAGGAGAGGCCCCGGGGTCACTGACGGGGCCCGGGCGGCCTCCACCTTGATGCCCCAACACAGCCGGCTGAGAACACATCGTGGGGTCCTCGTGGAGCTTGCTTCTGAACCCTAAAACCGGGGCCACCGATGCCGCAGCACCCTCCCCGCCGCGGGGAGGCCCTACCTGTCCCGGACGTCCTTGGCCCGGATGGGCGCCAGGAGGCTGAAGGAGGACTTGGCGGGGCGCAGGGAGCCGTCGTCGCCGGCCAGGGGGCTGGCGGGCCGGCCGGGGCCCAGGCTGCTGTGGGCCCGGAACAGCCTGGTCTGCAGGCGGAGCTTGAAGTCAGCGTGGTCTGCGTCCACCTTGTTTGCTGTCCGCAGGGAGTTGGCAGCCACGTTCCAGTCCAGGGCGGGCAGCAGGTGGGAGGGGAGCCCGCTGGCCAACCTGGGGGTGCTCCCGGCCGAGGCCCCGTTCCGGTGCAGGGTGTCCAGGGAGGCACCGCCGTTCCCCCACGAGGAGGGGCTCCCGCCCACGCGGCCCACAGTCCCGCGGGACGTGGGGATCTCCTGCCAGGAGGTGCTCAGGCAGGGCGGGGAGCGACGGTGGGCGGGGGGCCCGGGGCCCTGGTCCTGCAAGGAGCCCCGGGAGGGGCTGGCCCCGTTCCGGGAGGCCAGGTCCTCCCGGCTGCCGCGCAGACGCCTGCTCCTCCACCCCTTCTCGTCCAGGGACAGCGCCCGCTCCAGCCTGGGCCTCGGCGGCGGCTTTGGGGTGAAGGGTTTTGCTGTAGCCTGAGGGTCTTCATTGCTGGTTTTTGCTGGAATGTTCAGAGGGACCACTGGGCTCTGCTCGGGCCCGGCACAGCTGTCCGTGGGCAGGGACCCCGGGCCGGGGACCGAGCCTTTGTCTGTGTTGGGAAGCTGCCCCGCGAGCATTCTTCCTTCCGGCTGCAGGCGCCCCTGGGCGGCGGGCTGCTGGGGAGCCGGCTCCGAGGGCCCCGGGGAGACTGACTTGGAGGGCATAGTCCAGGGCCCAGCACGCCCCGAAGACGGCCCCTCGGGGGCTGCCGGCGACGCCCAGGGTCAGGGATGCGTGGCCAGGTGCCCCCAGCAGCGGCGCCAGGGCCTGGAGAAGACCTGCGGGGGCGGGGCCAGCTGCTGCATGGCCGGAGGCCTCCAGTCCCGGAGCCCCCCAGGGCCTAAGGGAAAACTGCTATTACTCCCAGGAACTTAACGTCCTTGAAGGGCAGCGACGCTGCAGGGTGGCGGTGGACGTCCAGCAGGGACAAGCGTCCAGACATCCCTGCCTGCTGCCCCTCCTAGGGATGGGTGACGGCCCTGTCCCCCCAAGCCACCTTCCCGGTCAGGGCCGGCTCCTCACGGGGCCACTAGGTGCGGACCGAGCATTCACACCCCCAAGGTGAAGGCAAGCGGGGGGCAGCTCACAGGCGCAGCCTGGGGTGGGTGTCCCCCCCCACCCCCCTACCCCCCGCCCTCGGCCCCGGCTCCACCGTGCGCCACCAGCACTGCGGGCGCGCAGACCCTGCCCGGAGAGCCGAGCCCCGGCCCTGAGCGGGTCTGCGGCGCAGTGGCCGAGGCCCTGACGCAGGGCCTGCGATTCCGCAGCAGCGCCCGGGGCAACGACTGCGGCGGAGCTGGGGGTGGGACCAGACCCGCGCTCCGGGGTCACCGCGCGCAGACCTCACCCTCAGGTCATCTCGTGCCCGAGGGTCACCCCAAGCCCCAACTCCGCGCCCAGGGGTCACCGGCCACAGGCCCTGCCCAGGGTCACCCCGCGTCCCTACCTCTAGCCGCCGCCTGCTCCCTAGCCCCTGCAGGCCTCGGCAGCCGCCCCGACTACCGGCAGCCAGGGCGGCGGACAGGCGCCTGCAGTGACCTCTAGCGGCCGGAGGCCCAGCTGGAGGAGTGAGCACAGAGCGCCGGGGGCGGGGCCAGGTGCCCGGAGGCCACGCCCCTCTGCCGCCTCTTCCCCTTGGCAGAGGGGCGGGGCCCGCATCCGCCCCAACCCGCCCAGCCCCCCGCCCACCCCTCCTGCGCTGGGGTACCCAGCCCATCGCTGCACATTTGACCAGTCTGGCCCTCCCCCGCCAACGCAACCCTAACTGCCCCCGGTTCCACATGCGCACGGGGGCGGGGCGGGCTTCAGAGCAAACCTGCCCGCCCCCCCCCCCCCCCAGGGGAGCCCGGCTGCAGGCGGGTCCCGGCCGCACCTGCGGGGACCAGGTCCGCGCGGCTCCCTGGCTTCAGCGGGCGGAAGCAAACAACAGGAGTGCACTCCGAGCCCAAAATAGTTTTATTTATTTAACAATTTGCAGTGTAACAATCAGCATGTAGGAAAAATAACGGCTCCCACCTGCAGGAAGCGTCTTGAATCAAAAGTCACTAACAGAAAAGTGGGCCGGGGGCCCGAGGCCCCAGGAATCACACCGGCCGACGCAGGGGGGCCCCGAGGAGGCCGGCCCCTCCCCGCGGAGGAACGCGGCCGCCGGTCACCCGGGGGGTGTGCGGCCAGGCTGTGGCCTCTCCCGGGGATCCGGTGGGCCGCGAGGGAGGGCGGACCGGGCCGACGGCGCCCTCGCCGAACCCCGCACTGAGGTCAGAGATGCCAAGCAGAACCGAGAAGGCAGCTCCTAATGATTTCCATAAATACTTCCAGCTCTCCGCTCTTCAGAGCAAACGACAGCGTGAGTGGTTTTGAGGACAGTCGACAGAGCCTTAGAGCCCGGAGTCTGGTGAGGAGAGGGTCCGCCCCGCCCCCCCGGGGCTCCTGTGGCTGGGCGCCCACACCCTCACAGCGGGGGGCCCGTGTGGAAAAGTCCGGGGGCAGAAGTATCAGCTTCTAGAGCTTCTGGCAAGAAACCGTGTTCAGCCACTTCCTTCAGACGCGGCCAGCCCCGCGGTGTGTCGCCCAGGTGGGCGAGCATGTCGGCCACGGGGTGGGGGGGCTGGAGCCCCAGGCACAGGGGCGGCGGCGGCCCTGCGGCTGCTCCGACTGTGAGTGCAGCCCGGCCACGCCCCCAGAGGGTCTGAGTCCACGAGTGACGGTCGCGGCGTCAGCACCGGCGGACCGGTGGGGACCAGTCCCCCATGGAACACAGCTGTGCTCGGTGTCTCTTCCCTCTCTCGAGGACGGACCCAGCGAGTCCCCCGGCGGCAGGAGGCCCCTCGTGTGCCGCCCAGGCCATGGAAGCCTCGGGGCCGCTGGGACCTCTCCGCTGCGGAGGGACCCGCACTGAAGGGCGGCTGAGGTGACCCCCCGGAGACCACTCAGAGGGACACCCACAGGGCCCTGTGCCGGGCTCCCAGCGCGGGGCCGGGGCAGGCTGCACCGGCGCGGGGCAGGCGTCGGTGCGTCCTTCCTCCCGGTGTCCCGGAAGAGCCGGGACGGGCCTGGCAGGGGTTCGCGTCGGGCTGTGAGGGACGCCCGTCCCTGAGGGTCCCAGCCGGCCTCGCAGCAGAGTCCAGCCACGCTCGGTGCGCCACCCCGGGGACCAGGCGGCGTCTCCTCGACGCCCCCTTCGGGCGCGAGCCTCTGAGCCGAGGGCGCTCCCCCGCTCCGGGTCTCGGGTCTCGGACGGGCTGCAGGACGGGCTCTGGCGGCAGGGCTGGGTGCCACCGGTCGGAAGGCAGGTGCCAGGCAAGCGGTCCGAGCGTCCAAGGCTAATGCAGAACAGGGGCCGGTCTACCTCAACGCCGGGTACTTCCTCTGGCCGATCCTCCCCGACCTTGAACTTCCTGCGGCGGCAGAGGCCTGAAACGACAGAACAGCACGGACTCGCCCTCCCGCCCCGTGGGGGTGGCGCTCGGTGGGGGCCTGGGGAGCACGGCAGCGCACACCCTGACGTCAGACAGGCGTGTCCGCCCTGCCCCTTGCTGCAGCCTGCGGCCACTAGCCACCGGCCCAGCCAACACCGGACGCCGGCGCTGCCTTTGACAGAGGCGCAGCGGTGCGCTGGGGCTCCAAGCGGGCCGGTTCCAGGGGTGGAGCATCGGAGGACCCCGGGAGGCACCCGGGGAAGGACAGGGAACCCTCCTCACAAACCCTAAAGGAGCCGAGGGCTGAGAGGTTCTCGTAGAGACACGACATACGAGAAACAGGTGACGGGAGAAAAGGAAGCCGCCACTGAATCTCGAAGCGGAAATGCAGACGGGTGGCCAAGCGGTAACGGGACACCTCAGTCCTGGGAGGGGGAGGGGCGGGGAAGAGAGGCCAAGCAGCAGCCTGGCCTGCAGACCCCACCCCCAGCTCCCCCTGCAGACCCCCAGCCCCCCGCCGCAGCAGGGGCGGCAGGACGGGCTCTGAGTGAGGGGCCGGGGCGCCACGGGCAGCAAGGCGGGGTGAGCATCAGGGCAGCCCAGGTCAGGGGAGGCGGTCCACTCTGAGTGCCAAGACCCCCTGCAGACCCTGCTCCCACTCGACTCCCCTAACCCGGCAGCCGGTCTCCACCGTGGGGGCGGGGGTCCGGGAGGGAGAAGGGAGGAGCGGGAGCGCGCAGTCAGGAGCACTGCTGAGGGGAGGGGAGGGGAGGAAGGGCAGGCAGGCACGGCTGCGGCAGAGCCTGGGGCAGGGGCACGGCTGGGGGACAGGACTCTCCCTGCCCCCCCCCCCCGAGACGGCGTGCTCGCACCTGTGCAAACTGCGTGGGGTTGTAGAAGGGCACAGAGGCCCCGGGGGCGCCTGCGGCCGGGGGCTGGTCACCGGGAGCCTGGAAACCAGAGAGCTCAGCTCAGCAAGAGGGTGCCGCACACTCTCGAACACGCACCACGACGGAGTGAGGACTCGTGGCTCTTTCAGGAAAGCCACAGAAGCACACGGAAGAGACCCACTGCCACACCGGACGGACCACGCGGTGGTTCGCAGAGAAGCAGCCAAAGCCGAGGGCCAGGCAGCGCGCACGCTCCAGCAACCAGGGCGGGCCCAGCCCGCCAGTGTCGGGGCAGCGGTCAGCGGGTGCGCCCGGTCCCTTCGGACCTGAAGCGTCCGTCCCCGGGGCTCAGGGTTCGATGTGCAGAGAGGGCCGCACCAAGGCTCTGGCCGAGCGCGGGGGAGGCCAGGCCGGCCGGGCCGCCAGGAACCCCCCCTGCGCGGGGCCAGGGAGAGGAACCCCGCCGAGCAGCGGCGGCCGCCCCAGCCCTGCGCGCAGGGAGAGCCGCCAGCCTCGGGTACCTGGTTGAGATGCTGGCTCACTTCCCGCGACAGGGAACTCATTGAGCTACAGCGCGAAAGCTACAAGACAGCGAGAACACGACACACAGTCAGCGTGCAGGCCGCGCCCCGCCCCGTCCACGGAGCCGACAAGCCAGCAGGACGCCCCCGGGGAGAGCCAGGCAGAGCCCAAAGTCCCCACGTCGCGGTGCCTGGGGCTCGGGGCGGGGGGTGTCCAGGCCTCGGCTGGAGCCGCTGGACCTCAGGACCCCGAGGAACACGGGCCACCGCAGGCCAGGCCGCGGGGCCCGAGTGTGAGCCCAGACCCCGCGAGGGTGCCCGGTCCCACACGGCTCCGCTCAAGCACGGGCGGCCGTGCTCTCGGGAGCAGAGCAGCGTCTTCAAGCCGAGAGAGCGTGTGCGCTGCCTCTCCTTCCCGTGACCGTTCACTTCTACGGGAGAGGCCGCGGCACAGGACGGCGAGGACGAGCGTCCACAGCCTGCACTTCGGGCGGAGACCGCGCGGCGCCCCTTACCTCGCCCCCCTGGGGGCCGTCCGCGGGGCAGGGGCCCAGGTCCGGCGCAGGGAGCGAGGCTGCCGAGCTGACCGCCTGCCGGGAGACACGGGCGCGTCACCCTCCCGTCCCACCACGCGCCCCCAGTGGCCTGGGACCCGGTGTCCGCTCTGCCCCATTCCTCAGAGCAGGACACTGAGGCCCGGGTCGGTGACGTCCCCACACTTCACGGAGGGGGTTAACGGGGAACCGGGGTCGACCCCTGTGGATCCGGCTCCGGACCCCACACCACACCCGTCCCACGTCACGTGTGCGTTAGACACGGGACCACCTCCGTGTGCTGCCCCGATCTCCATCAGACCGTCAGGACACGCCACACCACGCGTGGGGCTGGACTGCGTCTCCTCCTCCCGGGACACGAGGGAAATAGGTCACACAGGGTCGGGGCCCACGGTCTCGGCCTGGGAGGAGGGTGCCCCTTCCTGCCCCGCTGCGCCCGCTCACCTTGGGCTCCGAAGAAGGCTCCGGATGGGCTGGACCCCCAGCCGGGGCGTGCCCCTCCCTGCCAGCCCCCTCTGCGGGCGGGGCTCCCTCTGCGTCTGTGGAGGAGACAGTTGCGGGGGGCAGTCACACCCGAGGCCCAAGCCCGCCTGCTCTCCCGGAGGATGAGGGGCAAGGCCTCTGGGGCCGGGGCCGCCACCCCTCAGGGAGGAGCTGGGCCGTGACTCGGAGGAAGGGTCCGGGGTCCGCCCACCTGGGTTTGGTCCGAACAAGGATGCCGGCAGCGGGAGCGGGGCCAGCGGGGCGAAGAGGTCCGCAGGGGCCGGGGCCGGGTCGGCGCGCTGGGGCCCGCCTGGGTTCAGGACGTCCACGTAGCGCGCCCGCGTGCCGCCTGCGGCGGGGGAGGCGGCAGGTCAGGTGGGCACGCTGAATGACCCTGCCTCCGCGCGGCCCCTCCGCACCTCGGCCGAGGAGGAGCGGCAGGGACCCTCCGCAGGCCCACCAGACAGCCGGCTGGGAGGGCGAGGCCCCCCCCACAGAGGGCTCCCCACCCCTCGCTAAGAGCGGCTGGTCGGGACCCACCCAGGGGTCCTCACCACTCACTGGGCCCCTCTGTGCCTGAGCACGGCCACCCACCGCACACGGAACTCGGGGGGCCGGGAGGACACGTGGGCTCCCCGAGCCAGCTCTCGTGGCTGGGGTGTTACCTGCTTTCCTGGAGAACATGTTCACG